GGATACAGACTCGACATTTGGGATTCAGACATTTTGACGAGGGACTATTTGGGCCTGTGCCGAAGACTTGGTGTTGACGACATTCCCATCTTTCCGTCCTCTTCGTCTAACCCCTCCTCATCTTCGTCTGTGTATGTGTGGGGATGGCGCAGTCTTCCTGTGTGAAGCGCTAGACCCCTCTCACACTCTGGGATGATGATGATACTGTATGTTCAGGGCTGCATTGCAACATTGATTGATCGGATCATTGGTATTTAAGTCTTCCGTTTGCGCCATCTTGTACTTCGCATTAAGAGGTCGGTTCTTGTTCTGGTCTGCACGTTACAGTATGCAACATAGTGCCTCCAGTGGACAAGTGCCTTGTAGAGAGCATAGAGTTGTCTTTCGTATGGACTTTGCCAACTTCTTTGATGGCATCTTTTTGCTCATGTACTCGACCAGTCTCAACTTTTTCCCTTCCTGTTCAGCCAGCACTGCACCAATGCCGTATTGGCTTGCGTCAATGGTTATAACAAATGGCCTTTGCGGGTCGGGTACCATGAGAACTTCATGGTGCGTGAGAGCATGTTTCAAACGCTTGAAAGCTGCTTCACACTCGTCGGTCCAATCCCATGGGGTGTCAAGTCGAGTTAGATCAGTCAAGGGAGATGTGACCGTACTATAGTTCTTTACGAAGTTGCGGTAATAACCACACATTCCCAAGAATGATCTGACCTCAGTCACAGACTAGGGTCGTGGCCAGTCACGTATGCTAGCCACCATTGCATCTTCGGGCCTAATACCATCCGCAAATACTTCATGACCCAAGTAAAAGATTCGAGTGCGACCAAACTCGCATTTCTCAGCGTTTATCTTATACTTGTGTTGCCGAAGGAGTGATAGTACTTTGTCTACATGCTGAGCATGCTCCTCGATAGTTCTACTAAAAAGAAGTATATCGTCGAGGTACACCACGACTAACATATCCAAGTAGTCATGGAAGATCCTATTAATGGCGTGCTGGAATCTACCCGACGCATTGCAAAAGTCAAAGGGCATCACCACAAACTTGTACAGACCGTACCTGGTCTGAAATGCGGTTTTGTGCTGGTCCTCTGGTCTTATGGCAATCTAATGGTAGTCGGATTGTAAGTCTATCTTTGTATAATACTTACATCCCTGCACCCTATCCAATAGGTCATCGATGCGTGGTAGAGTTTTAGGTTCTTAACGGTGATGGCATTGAGCCTTTTATAATCAATGCACATCCTTCGTGTTCCTCCTTTCTTTGGAACAAATAAGACAAGTGAGCCAAAGGGGGAAATGCTAGGCCGAATCCAACCCTTTTTTGTGACCTTTTTCAGTTGCCCACAAAGCTCGTCCAACTCGGTCGGAGCCATCCTATAGATTTTCCCTTTAGGTGTCTTGCTACCTGGCATGATCTCTGTGGCATGGACAACCTCCCTGTCTACGACTCCAAAGGGCTCCTCGAACAGCTCAAGGTACTTAGCGACGATGGTCTCTATCTCTTGGGGTGTTTTAACGGCCCCCACTTTCGCAAAGACATAGATAAAGTTTTTCCTTCCTCTTGGTTTTGTTTATAATAGTTATAGAAGGCAAATGCGCAGAAGCACCCATAGGAGTCTATTAACCTACTGGCTTTATACTTAGCCAGTCTAACGGTCCTCCCATTAGGCAACTCGTGCTTCAACACCTTTTTGTCCCAGTCAAACTGGGGCTTGGCAACCTTGAGGTAGTACATGCCCAATAACATGTCAAAGGGCAAATCGTCGCTCACCAGGAATGATATCTTATGGCTCATCTCTCCTCCTGGGTAGGAGAAAGTGCAGACTGTGTCCTTAACGTAGTCCTCCACCGTCATGCGCTCCTTGTTGGCCAGAGTAGATGCTACCGGTCTACTAAGGCACTGCACCCGGTCCTGTAGGCGCAGTCTATCAACGCAGTCGCGACTTATGAAGTTTTGCGTGGAACCAATGTCTACGAAGGCGCCGCACTTGCTACCACCCACACCAACTTCCACAACAAAGTGCTCCCCTCTAGGACCTCTACTCAATGCCACCCAGGACTCACGAGGGTCCCTTGCCGACCACTCACCTTGAAGGTCCTCTAAGGCTTCAGACACATCCAACGTACAAAGTATAGTTGGGTCTGGATGCGTCTGTGGGGTGACTAAGGAGTCAAAAGCTTCGGCCAACTCTTGAAACAAGGAGGATACATCACTCGCTTCAACGAGAGTAGAAGTAGCTACAACTTCTACCGTCCCTAAGTGTTTCCCGAGCTGGAGCTCGTAGAGGCCCCAGACTGAGAAGAAGGATACCCACCCTTAGGAGGGATCTTCTGCAAGACCTTCGGGTTCTTGCACTTAAACTGCGTATGGCCATACTCGTCGCAGTTTATGCAAGCTCCCCTTGACCAACGGTCCCACCACACTTCCTGCTCCAAACCAGCCCTCACCCAAGCAGCTATTTTGTTTGGGTTGGCGGCTTGCCCCTGGCTCCTTTGTTGACCGCCCTTGCCGCGACCACCTGCCTTAGTTTTTACTGGTGCGGCGAGGTTGCTACTCTCAACACTCTCCTCGCCGTCTAACTCTGTTCCCTCCACAAGCTCAGAAACATCATCGATCTCCATCTGATTCCCTTCAGAATCAACCATCATCAATCGACTACCATTTTTCTTCCACTCTTGTGAAGTCTTCTTCTTTCTCCCGTTTGTAGAAGGGGTATGAGCACTACCCAGCGTAGCCTCTAAATCTAGGCCTTCTTGCTGAATGTCTCAAAGGTGTGATACTCTAGCCGAGCCTCACTGGGCTTTAAGTTCTTAATGCTTGTGGGAAGACATCTCAAGAACATGGTCAATAAGACCTGTGGATTGTACTCCAATCCTAGGATAACGATCAGGCGCTCTATGGTCGTGGTAAGCTCTCGCACTGACTTGTACTTCCTAGTGTCAAGCTTTAATAGCCCATCAGTGGCAATCTGTGCTTGATGAGGGTTGTGCCATCGTGTTTCCACTAAGTCCATAAAGCTTTCTAAGGTGTGGGTTTGCGCCTAGGCCCGGGCTGAGCGGCATAGGGGCCTGTCATCGTTGAGAATGGCAGCGATGGCAAGACTGCTGGCCTGATTCCTGGCCTATGCATGGCGTTCAGGATCTGGTCCAAGGTGTCCTCGACTGTATCCAGTTTACTGTCCATGTATGCGTGCATGGACAGGGTACTCGCCTTAAGATTTTTTTCATTATTGCTAAGGGTCGAGTCATCTAACCCCTCTAGTGCAGCCTTGTCTGCCTCCCTACCCTCTAGTCTGACACTCATGTCTCTAATCTCTTTCTGTCTTTTAGTAGCCTGTTTGAGTTCCTCCTCTAGCCTCAAGCGAATCCTTTTCACCTTTTGGAGCTCCATCTGCTCCCGGGTGCGTGCAGGCGGCGAGCTGAACTGTGAACCCGCCATCTGACTAGTGCCAGCTCCTGACGTATTCGAGATGGACTGTGAACTGGTCGCATTGAGTGGCATACCCAAACTCTTACCAGTAGAGTTTGCAGCAGAGGTGGCTGAAGAGGTAGCCATTGCTACCGTGCTAGCTGCTGCTGCTGCCAGCGCTCGTTGTCGCTGCTGCCTCTCTCGCAGTCTCTAGATTACAGACCCTTGCTTCGGCCCTAAGCCTTCTCTCGTCTCCTAGTAGTAGAACCTGGAACACAACAGGTATCCTACCGGTATCCCGTCGTGCCTGCCTCCTATCGTCTAATCTATCCTCTTCACCCTCTGATCCACTCATGGGCTAGGCAGACGTTGTCTGCACTAATGTCCTCTCTAGGACCTACCGCAGCATACGTCTGACCGGTTCTAAAAATAAATAAAATAATCGATGTCCGGCAAGTTACCTAGACTACTAGTCAAGCGGCATCAACAGCACCTACACAAACTGTACACATGTAGTTCACCTCTATCTTTGATAAGTTCTGCACAGAAGCTTTAAGACGAACTGACTATGGTAGATTACAGTCCTACTTTAGGTTGTCAGTTAGGTGTTAGCAGTCTATCAACCAACTAATCAAGATAAAAATAAACTACAATGAGCAAATGTATGCACAATGGATACGATAGTGATGTACAGTTGAGTTCTCAATTGGAATCCCCTTCCCCTGTATCCAACGTACATGTGAG